CTAGTGTAGACAGAACATCATAAAGAAATCACCCCCATCATGGTTTTGCTATCCAAAGGGGGAGTACAACTTAATATAATTTAACAGCCGTTGACCAAGTGATTTCCCATCCTCATACTGACTAAATGGCAACTGGTGGAGAATCGGAGACAGTGTCTGGAACGCTAGGGGAATTTTGTGAGTTACAGGAATGGATGATGGCTTTTTTTGTCAATGTGGTTTCTCCCTTTCAGTATGTCTCAGCAGTTTCTGTGGCCTGCACTGTCTTGCATCAAGCCTGTCAGGAACATGTATTAACCCGTGCAACAATCTCCCAAGGAAAGGGGCATAAGCCACATCACTTGGGGCATTTAAAACACCTGACCAAACACTAGTAAATACAATAATGACCAATGCTCCATTGGTAAGAAAATGGGATTAGGTGATCTGGTAGGTCTCAATGCCATCATGTGCTGCAGTGACATCCTGATACTACCTGACCACTATACTGATGTATTCATCTTCTGTGCTGTTCCACTGCCGTTTGACTGCCCTTTCCTCCAGAAACAGAGCATTGTCTGCTGCTCCAATATTTTGCCTGACAGTTGAAGTGATGTCTTCAATGGCTGTGGTATAGATACACTGCAGATGTGGTGGTGCATAACGTGATGTCAGTAACCAAACAATGTCAGTAGTGTTCTACACGATTGAGGCAGTAGCATTAACATATACTACAAGTATACTTAGATACCACATAGAAATCAAGATATACCAGCGTAACTGCATCCCTTCACTGACTTTCTTCTCTATTGTATCAAATGTTAGCTACTTGTGTTCACTTTCAAAGCCCTTCACGACCTATCTCCACCTACCTATCATCTTTCATTCAGTATCAAAAGGTTGACTCCTGCCTCCGATTGGCCCATAATGCCCGCCTCTATTGACCACTTGTTAAATTTTCAAACAAGCATCTTTGTGCTTTCTCCTATGCTTCCCCTCAGCCTTGGAAAAAGTTCCCTGTAAACAGCTGCAAAACAAACTCATTATCCTCATTCAAAACCCTCCTTAAAAACTCTTGCTGTGAGGCCTACAAAAACTTGACAATGGTTAGGCTGTTGGGGTGCTGTTGGGGTCCTCTCAGGCTGACCAATATTGTCTCATTGTTTCCCTGAACTCCCCATCTGTCTGTATCCAGCTGCTGTCTATTGTCTTGTACTTAGACTGTAAGATCCTTGGGGCAGGGTCTGTCATTTCTAGCACACTGGAGTCCTGTTCCAGGCCTAAGGCTCCTGGAAACTACGATAGTACAAAGAATGAATAATAAAATAATAAAAAGAGGTACCAGATAGACTAGCTGTTCTTTTTCGTAAATCCAGAGCAGCTATAGATTTTGTTATTGGTAAAGATAGTCCATAGTCCCAATGGATCATTTAGTGGATAATCCTAGCTTCCCTTATTTAAACCCATGTTTTAGAGATGAAAGACAAGTGCTAAAACCATTACACTGTCTATCTGTCATTCTATGTCTATATAAAAGGCCAAGTCTGGCTTTGTGTATTTAATATACAAGTTATACAAGTTACGTTATTAGACAAAAAATGAACTTGTATTTTTCCATTGGGGCAAAATATACCCAAAGAATCTCAATGAATGTGTCATTTAGTTGACAGAGGAAGTTCACAAGGAGAGCGAATTACAAATCTTTAAACACTTAATTTACAACCGTTTTGTTCACCATTAGCGGTAAGGTCATTTTTGATTCCCTGCTGCTGATCTACAATCCCTAGGAATTACTGAAGTTCTTTGCCTGTACAATAGTAATAATAATGAGAACTAAAATAAACGTTGAGAATTGTGTCTGAAGGTGAACTGACATGCTTTAAAATCCCTAATCCTTAACAGAACATATATATGAAGGGTTAGATTACAAATAAATACATTAAAGCTTTTATTTTTAAAAAGCCATAGGAACTGCCTTGTCCGATATTCTGCTTCTTACAGTGGCCAGTATCAGGTGCTTCAGAGGAAAAGGTAAAATCCCATAATGGACACTTATCCTCCTTCACATCTGTCTATTTTCTCTCTAATGCATTCGTAATGCACTCATAGTGGTGATATGCAGACACATATACCTGTTAAGAGATCTGAATCCAGGCTTTGGGGGTTCTGGATTTTCCCTGCTACAATTGTTGACCTAACACTGCGTAAGGAATACAACTACCTGGACTCTTAGGTCTTAGGCACCACTCCCTGCAGGTGAATAACCAGGGTCAGTGACTTAGTGACCAGGATTCCTGTAGGAAGAGACAATGTGCTGCAGAAACTCCATGAGGTTCGTCACATGACGCTGGATTTGCACATCCCTGGGTTGGCAAGGATCCACATGGAAGGCATGTCACATGATCTAGATCCTGGGCTATCTTTGAAGATGGCTTTCCACCTCAAGAGTCCTCCTCCTTAACAGCAGCTAGATTCTCCAGGAGCTGTACTGTCAGGAACCATTCCCTTGCAGCTCTGCAATATCCCATCTTCAAGTGAGAAGAGAAACTGTGGAGGGAGCTAATACTGCTTGTAACTTTTTTTAAACACTGGAGTATTTTCTATCAAAAAGCAACCACGTCACATAGAGAACATGCCCTCCAAAAGCAACTGCTTGCCTTCCTGCTATGGCACATCCAACACCACAGAACCATGCTTCTATAGAGGGCTCTCAGAGAAGAAGTGGCATGGCACAGAGCCACTGTTCCCCAGTCATATGTACTTGGTGTTTCCTACCCTGGTTCACGCCCTCCATTCCTGTAAGGGAAGGAGACCAGCAAGTCCCAACTCTCATTAGCTATTCCAGGAGAATCCTAGGGTCCTAGTAGTTAAAGAAAAGGTCTTTTAGTTAGCATAAGTTGAAATCTTTAACAATCACTATATGAAGTCAGAAAGCAAGTGTAAGACTTGAGTCAGTACAAATGTGTCCACCTTTGACAAGGGAAGCCAAGAAATCCATTAGAGGGTGTTCTGTGACTTTTCAGAGGCTCCTACAGTAACTCTTCACTTAAAGTCGTTCTGCTTAACGTTGTTTTGTTGTTACGTTGCTGATCAGTTAGAGAACATGCTCGTTTAAAGTTGTGTAATGCTCCTTTCTAACGTCGTTGGCAGCCGCCTGCTTTGTCTAAACTGCTTGCAGGAAGAGCAGCCCCTTGCAGCTAGCTGGTGGGGGTTTGGAACCAGGGTGGACCGGCAGCCCCCTATCAGCTCCCCCTATCAGCTCCCCGCTCCCCTAAGTTCCCTGTGCAACAGCTGCCTGCAGTTCAGCTGTGTCCCTCCCCCCACTGTGTCCCTCCCCCTTCCCTCCCTCTGCCTTGGAGCTCCCCGAGACTCCTGCTTGCTGTGCCAGAAGGGAGGGAAGGAAGAGGGGGGCTAATGTCAGGGTGTCCCCCTCCCCCCTGCTCCTGCACCCCGCTTACCCCATCTTCCATAAAGCAGGGCTTAGGATGGAGGGAGCTTGCAGCAGCTGAGGTCTCAGCAAGCTGATCTAATTAACAAGGCAGTGTACTTAAGGGAAATGCGCATATCTCCCTCCATTCCTGCTGCCTTGTAGAGTGAGAGAGTTAACCCTTGAGGGCTCAGCCAATTGCTAGTTCATCATTTAGCAGTAAGGGAAATATCCCACCCTCTGAGTCCTCCACCTCAACCAAGCTTCACAATCATCATCACTGTGTACCAGTATTAAATTGTTTGTTTAAAACTTATACTGTGTGTGTATATATATATATAATATAGTCTTTTGTCTGGTGAAAAAAATTTCCCTGGACCCTAACCCTCTCATTTACATTAATTCTTATGGGGAAATTGGATTCACTTAACATCGTTTCGCTTAAAGTCGCATTTTTCAGGAACATAACTACAACGTTAAGTGAGGAGTTACTGTACTTCATTCACTAAATGTATCCCCTAAATATCTAGTACTGTACTGCCATCCAAATCTGATCCATATATATTATTTCATCAAGATCTAACAGGCTGCTCATACAAGTTGCCAGATAATACACCAAAAATGCTACAGACTGGCTTGTGAACAAGTCTTTTTATTGACTTCAATTGGCTTTGGATCAGACCCATACTGCCTAGATTTGCACCTATGCCCACACTTACTTTACCAGGTGTATCTAACTCAGCTAAATAGAAACAATGTTTTTTCAGAGATGAAACTTGGTAAAAATAAACTTTCAGCCTAAGTATGTTTATATTTTAATATATTTTTCCAAAAACCCATTGGTCACATTTTAATTATAGAAGATACAAATAGTTTATTGATTTCGAATAAAGTTTTTGCACTTGGCCATTTAAAAGCATCTCTTTAAACAAATCAGGTGGTCATTGCAGGTGGAAAGAACACCATGCATATGAAGAACCTTTTGTAAAAAAAAAAAAAGAAATTATTAAACAGATGCCATCGTACTGATTAGTAAATATATACACACATTTTAAATTGCTGGTCCCAAGTGATCATTTGATCCATCTCATGAACTTGCACGTACTTTCATGAGAGTGTTTTAGCCCCTTTATTTAAGAAGTCTACTGCTGATAAAGTAAACAACAAAATGCAATAAAGTAAGAAATTTAATTCACAAAATTTTTAAAATTCAGAATTAAAACTGATACTGCTCCTAACCCATTGGATTATGTGTAGGTGAAACAATGCACGTCTTTGAAGGTGCATCAGAGAAGATAGACACTGAACTGCTCGCTGTCTCGCCTAGAGGTGTTCTCTCCAGGTCAGGGTTGAGGCATATTGGGAGTCAGTTCTGTACCTCTTCGATAGCAGGAGGACTCCAGTCTTTACTGTTGTCAAATAAGCCAGCACCTAAACATTTACTAGTAAATATATAAATTAAAATATAATATAAGCAAGAAAACATGTCCTTAATTCTAGAAGGCTGATTCATTTTCCTCTTGCTTGAAGAAAGCCACTGCAATGTGTCTTGTGGCAACATCCAGTTTACATGGGAAGGCTGATCTCCATCTTGTCAATAGTACTGACTGAAGAAGGAAAAAGCATCCATGATTTTTGCTTTAATGTTGAATAAGGACAGCCATGATCGTTTTTCCTCAAACATAGGTAGGAAGCCGTTTTCCTGTGGAGAAGAATATGTACAGTCTGGTTCTAGCTTTAAAATAATGAGCTCGTGCAAAATGCACCATTGTTTCGTGATAGCAGGAGGCTTTCAGTTCAATAGAGCCGTTGAGCCTTTATTCCCATAGAGGCAGGTTTACAGACAACTACCTCAGAAAAAGATGAACTGGGCTTTAAAAACAATAGCTGAAACTATTTGCAAATCATGCAATGCCTGTCTCATCTCCAGGTCATAACGTGGCCAAATTTGCTCCCTCCCTGCCTACTCCCTTCTGGGGAAGGTTCATTATTTAGGTTGGGTTTAAACTTTGTGGTTTGGGCTCATTTCTGCAAGTAACATAACTGTCTGCGTTTCAGTTTTAATATGCTTATAAATATTCCCCCTTTAAACCTTCTCTTTCTGGTGTTATGAGGTACTTATTGAAAATTCCAGATACTGTGAGAAAAAAATGTCAGGAATAGATGGTGACCTTAAACAGGTTTGACTGAAAGAGGCAGGCAAAGGAGCTTCTATAAACATGATGTATGAAGCACCACTAACTCCCTGCAACTGTTATCCAACAGAAATAGACAAAAGCAAGCTAGAAAAAAGTGTGGGAAAGGATAAAGACAGTAGTAAAGGGAGACAGGTGAGAAAAGAGAAAATAAGCCTGATTCTGAGCTCATCTACAATGGTATAAATCAAGAGTAATTGCACTGAGAGCAGAATCGGGCCCAAAGAGGCGATATGAAGAGAATGTGACATTTGCATACAGACACACACACAAAATACCAGGGGATCTCAGGCTCTGATGGCATTTACCATCAACTTCCCCTAAACACCTACAGAAAATCAAGTTTGCGTGATGAAACCCTGCAAAGCAGAAGAGCGGAGTTTCCTACAACTTTCCCCTGCATCAGCACAGGAACTTTCATTAAATGGTCATATATATGACACTGGAAAAAGAGACCTACTGTTTGTCAAATACTTTACTCGTATTTGTAAAATAACCATGGGGAAGTCTTAGGAATATCTCAGCCAATTTTTCTACTCATACACGTAGTCTCAGTGCATGAATAAGGCAAGAGGGATTTGACCCCAGTTATACTTAATTATCAGACTGTACAACTAAATTGACAGGGGATGAAAACCTGGCTGTATGGAGCTCAGTGGCAAAACTCCCATTGACTTCAATGTGGACAGGATTTCACCTATAAAGATTTCCCTTTCCATTGACTTCAAAAGGTTTTGGATCACGCCAGTCATAGCATTATTATTGCGTCCTTTCACTTTAATTTCAGTTTGGAAAGTGTACTGTAAAAATGATTCAGGGCTTACTTTAGTGGTTTATACTGTCACAAGCACCTTAAAAAGGTCTTGTATTTTCCTCTAATTTAGATCTGAAGCAAGATATTTGCTTTAAGTCTTAAGGAAGAATTCAAGATATAAAAGTTTTAAATAAAGCAAATGATAAAGCCCTGGCTAAGTTGACAATTCTTTTTGACAGTAGTTAAAAGAACATTTTTTTTTAATGTATTAAGGAAAATTCTCCTGATCTAGACAACAGTGAAAAATGGTTATAAAATACAGCACTGAAACTTACCCAACCTCCATTTGCCTCTATCCACTCAGCCTTGTTGTTTATAATGTACTCCGTGATGAAATAAGAAATCTGCTCTTTATTATCTCCTGTAAGCTGAACTTTGTGTTCTTGAAGCCTCTTAGAAAGAATTCCTCCAAACATAAATATTGTCAAAATCCGTCCCCAGTTAGTGTTTCCATCAGCAAATTCTTTATCCACGACTTCAGTGAAAATTCTTCTGGCAGCATCTACAGAGGTAATATCAAGTGTGTCCAAACATGGTTTCAGACTCTCTTCATTTTCCTTTTGCAGAAAGGATGCAGTAGTTCTTAAAACATGAGCAACTCTGCTTGGGGCTGGTCCAAGCTGTGGTTCCTGAAGAACGTATTTCAGATAATCTTGGACTAAATGGTAAACATAGCAGTACTCAGAGCGTTCCATTTAGAAGCAGGCTCAGAGCAAATCACAGCCTTTGACCAGTGTGAAACTGCTAATCCACTCTAAAAGCTGAACTAAATAACTACAAGCTAGGCACTTGCATCACAGAAAGTTCCTGTAAAGCTTCCTTAAATTAATGTGTGGGTTGTGGCTATGAGTTCAGAAATGAAAGAAAAATTCTGACTGAGGTCAAAGAGTAAAAAAAAAAAAATTATCCTAAATGATGTAGCATGCAGGAAGTGAGGCCTTACACGAATACATTAGTAGGGGCCACATCCTCATCTGGTGTAAATTGGTGTAGCTTCAACGGGCCTGTGCTGATTTACACCCATTGAGGATCTGCCACATTTTGCTTTTTAAAAGAAAAATGCACACTATTGGAACAGGCAACTCTTGAGAAATACTCTGCCACTGGCAGTGGCCAATGCTTCACTCTGGACTGCATGGAGATGGTGACTAAATCTTCACAGTTAGTGATAAGAGGGAACCCAAATCTGGTATATCTTTCCTCTTGCCTATGGAAGAAGGGGGTGTCAGCTCTATAAGATTATACCTCTGCCCTTATTCCCACAAAAGCCCCCATGTGAGTGAAGATCAGGCTCTGACGATTGGAACGGAGTGACTGACTGTGACAAAGTTCTTCCCACACACAACTCCTCCATCTCTCAGGGAATCCAGGTATAAGAGAATACTGATCCAGTCAGCATTAAGTGATATGGCCTACTGTACTGTGAACACACACACACACAAATTACAGGGGGTTTTACTCGGCAGCAGCCAGGGGCTTCTCCAGGGTTTTGGCCGTCCCAAGCAGCCAAACAAACAAACAAACAAACAAAAAAAGCCGTGATCGCGATCTGCGGCGGCAATTCGGTGGGAGGTCCTTCGCTCCGAGCAGGAGTGAGGGACCGTCCGCCGAATTGCCGCCAAACAGCTGGACGTGCCGCCCCTCTCCGAAGTGGCCGCCCCAAGCACCTGCTTGGTAAGCTGGTGCCTGGAGCCGGCCCTGGCAGCAGCTGAGAAAGAGGTATTGGTGCTCCCAGTGTCAACAGGGTGCTTGGGAGGAAGGAGAGAAGAGCAGGGTCTCTGAATGGTAGGGGCCAACAACCATGCCATCCTCTACCTCTGACTTGTCCAAAAAGACATCCTTCAAAAATTAGAAGCCAAATCCTAGTGAGGAAAATAGAAAGGAGCATAAACTCTGGCAAATCAAATACAAAAGTACTGTATAAGGCAGGCCAAGAAAGAATCTGAAGAGCAACTAGCTAAGGACACAGAAACTAACAGCAACAAAATGTAAGTACATCAGAAGCAGAAAGCCTGCCAGTCGGGGGGACCACTGGACAATCGAGCTGCCAAAGGAGCACTCAAGCAAGAGAAGGCCATTGCGGAGAAGCTAAATGAATTCTTTTCATCAGTCTTCACTGCAGAGGATGTGGGGCAGATCCCCACACCTGAGCGATTTGTTTTAGATGACAAATCTGAGGAACTCTCCCAGATTGAGGTGTCAGTAGAGGAAGTTGTGAAACAACTGATAAATTAGTTCCAAAGGAACTCATGAAATTGCAGAACTATTAACTGTAGTATGTATTCTGTCATTTAAATCAGCTTCTCTACCCAATGATTGTAGGGTAGCTAATGTAACGCTAATTTTTAAAACGGCTCCAGAGGAGTTCCTGGCAATTACAGCAGGCCAGTAACCATGTGGCAAGGGTGATTCAGTTCATATAGTGTATTTGAACTTTCAGAAAGCCTTTGACAAGGTCCCTCACCAAAGGCTCTTAAGCAGAGTAAACTGTCATGGGGTAAAAGGGAAGGGCCTCTCATGGATCAGTAACTGGTTAAAAGTTGGGAAACAAAGGGTAGGAATAAATGGTCAGTTTTCACAATGGAGAGAGGTAAATATCAGGGTCCCCCAAGGATCTGTAGTGGGACCTGTGCGGATCAGCATATTCATAAGTGATCTGGAAAAGGGGGTGGCAAGATTTGCAGACAATAAAAAATTACTCAAAATAGTTAAGTCCAAAGCTGACTGCAGAGAGTCACAAAGGGATCTCACTAAACAGGGTGACTGGCAACAAACTGGCAGCTGAAATTCAATGTTGATCAATGCAAAGTAATGCACATTGGAAAACATAATCCCAACTATACATACAAAATGATGGGGTCTAAATTAGCTGTTACCACTCAAGAGAGAGATCTTGGAGCAGAGGTGACCCATGGGCCTTTGACGGGCCTAAGTGACTTCCCCCTCTAAATTAATGAAAATTATTAATACTTCAGAACCAACCTGTCTGAGAGCATAAATGATTAATTTATGTTATTGTCAAGCAAAAGATGGTTCGGTTTGCTCAGTGGTGTGCTGCCACCTACCCGCGGCAAGCATTCCTGCATGCACAGAAATGTTCCAGCAGTATAGGAAATAATGTCACAGCAGTTATCTGCTCAGGGTTTCTGTGTCTTGTGTCTGTTTGTATGCACAGTGAGGAACAGCAACACAATGGTATTTGTGCTCACCCACTGCCTCTCAGTATAAATGATTAGGTGATTTTTTTATTCTTATTTTATTTTTATTTTTTGCATTTCTCAGTCTAGAAACCTTAAACACTTCATTTCCAAAGTTTTGGGATGCTCATCTCCTTAAATAGAGATGTGCATCCCATTCAATTTAAAAGATTTCTCTTCTCCTAATCTTTACGTGACAGAGAAATAGAAGAGGAAATAGCTGCAGTAGGCAGGCTGGGCTGGGGCCAGAATCTGTGCTGTACCTCTCACGAGATGAAGCACAGATGGCACAGCCCGAGGGGTGGGGCTAGGGTGAGACCAAGCTACTCTTGCTTGCCCCTCACATATTCTGGGATAATGTGCAGGTCAATGTGGATCCCAACATAGAGGGGCTCCTCTAACTTGTAACAGCTTCTGCACAGCTGCCGTTGGGCTTCAGTGGAGCCCACCATTGCCAGGTGCTGAGCACTCTAGCCATTCCCCCTCCCGTCCCTGAAACAATCCATCTGCTCTCAGCATGCCCATACACCAGAGACTAAGGATGGGCAGTGTAAGCCTACATATGCTGCTCCTGTTCTGCCCCTGCACAGAAAGAATTCTTGTGCGGGTCCCCTTTGCACTCTGTCCCCTTTGCAACCTCTCTCCAGGGCCGGCTCCAGGCACCAGCTGAACAAGCAGGTGCTTGGGGCGGCCAAGGGAGAGGGGCGGCACCTGAGGCAATTCGGGGGCGGCAGGTCCCTCACTCCCTCTAGGAGCAAAGGACCTGCCGCTGTACTGCCCCGCCAATCGCGGCTTTTTTTTTTTTTTGCTTGGGGCGGCAGAAATGCTGGAGCCGGCCCTGCCTCTCTCCACCACTAGAATGGCATAAAGAGGCCAGGGCCAGGGGCCTGCCACCTCCCACTAAACAATACATAGCCTAACCCACAATGCAACTCCAAACCCAGCCTCATAATCATGAGGTGAGACATGGCAACATACCGGGTCCCAGAACCAACATTCATCATTAAGATGGGGAGATGGAGCTTGGCATGGTTGGTAACCAGGGGACACTGTTCTGGAGTGTTCCTCTATCTATGGCTTTGTCCCGAGCCCTCCCTCACCTTCCTTTCCAGATTTTTACTCAGCACTGAGCCAGTTTGAATGATCCCTATGTCTTACCAATGGTGAAACAAGCAATATACACATCTCTTGGGGGGGAGGGATAGCTCAGTGGTTTGAGCATTGGCCTGCTAAACCCAGGGTTGTGAGTTCAATCCTTGAGGGGGGCCACTTAGGGATCTGGGGTAAAATCAGTACTTGGTCCTGCTAGTGAAGGCAGGGGGCTGGACTCAATGACCTTTTAAGGTCCCTTCCAGTTCTAGGAGATAGGATAGGATATCTCTTCAAGCCTCCCTTGCAGTGGAGTATGACTCTAAGTGAAGCCCTGTTAGAGCCCTACAAATCCTCCACAAAGACTTCATGTGTCACTGGTAAAACCCTCAGGCTCCAGCCAAATTCATTTTGGTATTCTAAATACCCATCTCACCATGGTACTACGTGGCAAAGGAAAAGGCTTGCAGGAATCAATGTCATTATAAGACATGGTCTCATGTTGCAGCATTGGATCCAAGAGCAACATTTTCAAACACCGCAAAGTTTTAAGGTTCTCAGATCTTGAGTTTGGGTTTGGCCTATTATAAAAACAAGGGGAATTTGGACACCTGCAAAGTTCACTTGCAAGTGGATCACTAGCATTGGTTCCGGTCTACATCTAACTATAATGCCAGCAGGGAAGAGAGAGAGAGAGTGTTATTGCAGTCTGAAATGCATTAGAGCCGGGCTGTGTGCATGAGCATGAAGGTACTTTACATGGTGATTTGTCAATAGATAACTCCTGCCACATGTAAACCCCATTTCAGCAAACTACTTAAGCACATGCTTACCTTTAAACATTGGGTGAGATTTTTCAAAGGCACAAATGGGAAGTAGGTGCACAATTCCCAAGGATTTTCAGTGGGACTTGAGTGCCTAACTTCCTTAAGTTTCTTTAAGAGTCCCAGACACTGACTTCAGTGGGACTATTCACATATTTAAAGTAAGGCATTTGCTTGAGTATCTTGCTGAACTGGGCGTAAGATACTATTTCTATTTTTTTAGAACAGGTTTAAATAGCCAATGCTAAAAACATAACTGAGTTTGAAATTTAATTTTACTTAATACTAAAAGTTTATATATAAGTTGTAACTGCTTGTGATGGGGGATCATCTCACCAGACCACATCCCATAGTGGTCCAAGTCCAGGGTTGGCAGTAGGGGAACCAAGGCCCTCATGCTCCACTGGGTTCCAACCCAGGGTCCTGGGGCAGGCAGTTCATGTGTGCAACCTACGTAAGGGTACCACCCAGCCTACTCCCCCGGTCACTTCCTACTGCATCGCTGCCTCTCCAGAGTCATGGTGAAGGCCTGGCTATTGGCCCACAACATATTCCACCAGAAAGAGGGTCAGGAGGTTCCTTCCC